TCCCGGGATAAAACCACCCCAAATCCTGTCCCAAACTGAGCCCTGTCCTGGGATAAAACCACCCCAAATCCTGTCCCAAACTGAGCCCTGTCCCGGGATAAAACCACCCCAAATCCTGTCCCAAACTGAGCCTATCCCGGGATAAAACCACCCCAAATCCTGTCCCAAACTGAGCCCTATCCCGGGATAAAACCACCCCAAATCCTGTCCCAAACTGAGCCTATCCCGGGATAAAACCACCCCAAATCCTGTCCCAAACTGAGCCTATCCCGGGATAAAACCACCCCAAATCCTGTCCCAAACTGAGCCCTGTCCTGGGATAAAACCACCCCAAGTCCTGTCCCAAACTGAGCCCTGTCCTGGGATAAAACCACCCCAAATCCTGTCCCAAATCAAGCCCTATTCCGGGAGGGAATCCTGCCCTGCCCTGTCCCTTATCCTAGCATAAATCCAGCCAACTTCCCACTAGGACTGAGGGAATCCTGTCCCAAATGGATCCCTGTCCCAAACCCCCATTCCTCCCATGGAATCCTATCCCAAATGGATCCCTTATCTCAGATCCCCACTCCTCCCAGGGAATCCTGTCCCAAACGGATCCCTTATCCCAAACCCCCACTCCTCCCAGGGAATCCTGTCCCAAATGGATCCCTTATCTCAGATCCCCACTCCTCCCATGGAATCCTATCCGAAATGAACCCTTATCCCAAACCCCCACTCCTCCCATGGAATCCTGTCCCAAACGGATCCCTTATCCCAAACCCCCACTCCTCCCATGGAATCCTGTCCCAAACGGATCCCTGTCCCAAACCCCCACTCCTCCCAGGGAATCCTGTCCCAAACGGATCCCTGTCCCAAACCCCCACTCCTCCCAGGGAATCCTGTCCCAAACGGGTCCCTTATCCCAAACCCCCACTCCTCCCAGGGAATCCTGTCCCAAATGAACCCTTATCCCAAACCCCCACTCCTCCCAGGGAATCCTGTTCCAAACGGGTCCCTTATCCCAAACCCCCATTCCTCCCAGGGAATCCTGTCCCAAATGAACCCTTATCCCAAACCCCCACTCCTCCCATGGAATCCTGTCCCAAACGGATCCCTTATCCCAAACCCCCACTCCTCCCATGGAATCCTATCCCAAACGGATCCCTTATCCCAAACCCCCACTCCTCCCGGGATTCCTATCCCAAACGGATCCCTTATCCCAAACCCCCACTCCTCCCATGGAATCCTGTTCCAAACGGATCCCTGTCCCAAACCCCAACTCCTCCCAGGGAATCCTATCCCAAACGGATCTCTTATCCCAAATCCCCACTCCTCCCAGGGAATCCTGTCCCAAACGGATCCCTTATCCCAAACCCCCACTCCTCCCATGGAATCCTATCCCAAACTGATCCCTTATCCCAAACCCCCACTCCTCCCAGGGAATCCTGTCCCAAACGGGTCCCTTATCCCAAACCCCCACTCCTCCCAGGGAATCCTGTCCCAAACAGATTCCTTATCTCAGATCCCCACTCCTCCCATGGAATCCTATCCCAAACGGGTCCCTTATCCCAAACCCCCACTCCTCCCAGGGAATCCTGTCCCAAACAGATCCCTTATCCCAAACCCCCACTCCTCCCGGGATTCCTGCCCACGTTCCCGCTCCAGGCGCGGGCAGGAGCCGCCGCTGACCTTTGATCTCCAGCCACTGCTCGTCGTCGTCCTCGTCGTCCTCGTCGGGGCCCTGGAAGACGCTGAGGCGGCGGAGGCCGGGGCCGGCCTTGGGCAGGGCGAGGCTCCGCGCCTGCAGCACGCGGCTCCGCGCCGGCGCCGGCCGCTTCAGCAGCGCCGGCCGCTTCCCGGGGCCCGGGGATGGGGCGCTGCCGGGGGGATTCGGGGTGCTTTCTGTGGGAAATAAAGGAAATTATTATTGGATCCTTCCTGGGGATCAGGGATGGGGCGCTGCCGGGGGGATTCGGGGCGTTCTCTGGGGGAAATAAAGGAAATTATTATTGGATCCTTCCCGGGGCCCGGGGATGGGGGGATTTGGGGCATTCTCTGTGGGAAATGAGGAAATTATTATTGGATCCTTCCTGGGGATCGGGGCCGGGGCGCTGCCGGGGGGATTCGGGGTGTTCTCTGAGGGAAATGAGGAAATTATTATTGGATCCTTCCTGGGGATTGGGGATGGGGCGCTGCCGGGGGGATTCGGGGCACTTTCTGTGGGAAATGAGGAAATTATTATTGGATCCTTCCTGGGGATTGGGGATGGGGCGCTGCCGGGGGGATTCGGGGCACTTTCTGTGGGGAAACGAGGAAATTATTATTGGATCCTTCCCGGGGACTGGAGATGGGGTGCTGCCGGGGGAATTCGGGGCACTTTCTGTGGGGAAATAAAGGAAATTATTATTGGATCCTTCCTGGGGATCAGGGATGGGGGGATTCGGGGCATTCTCTGGGGGAAATGAGGAAATTATTATTGGATCCTTCCTGGGGATCGGGGATGGGGCGCTGCCGGGGGGATTCGGGGCACTTTCTGTGGGGAAATGAGGAAATTATTATTGGATCCTTCCCGGGGTTTGGGGATGGGGGCGTTCGGGGCATTCTCTGGGGGAAAACAAGGAAATTATTATTGGATCCTTCCCGGGGATCGGGGATGGGGCGCTGCCGGGGGGATTCGGGGCACTTTCTGTGGGAAATGAGGAAATTATTATTGGATCCTTCCCGGGGTTTGGGGCTGGGGGGATTTGGGGCATTCTCTGGGGGAAATGAGGAAATTATTATTGGATCCTTCCTGGGGATCAGGGATGGGGTGCTGCCGGGGGGATTCGGGGCACTTTCTGTGGGAAATAAAGGAAATTATTATTGGATCCTTCCCGGGGATTGGGGATGGGGCACTGCCGGGGGGATTCGGGGCACTTTCTGTGGGAAATAAAGGAAATTATTATTGGATCCTTCCTGGGGATCAGGGCCAGGGAGCTGCCGGGGGCATTCTCTGGGGGAAATGAGGAAATTATTATTGGATTCTTCCCGGGGTTTGGGGCTGGGGGGATTTGGGGCATTTTCTGAAGTGAGACGGAAAGGAAATTATTCCTGGGAATCCTGGGTTGGGCTGGGAGAGGCTCCAGGTCTGCCCCGGCCGCTTCCTCCCCAGGTTTGGAGCTGGGGCATTCTCAGAATGTTTGGGGGATTTGGGGCAGTTTGTGAGGGCAGAATGACGGGGACAGAATTCCCGGGAATCCCAGGATTGGGCTGGGAAAGGAAGGACCTACCAGCATTGGATTTTTCCCTCTGGAGCTTCAGGAATTGCTGCAGGAAGCTCCCATCGTTCACGAACTTGTTGGACACGGAGGCCTCGCTCTCGGAGCTGTCGTCACTGAGCGGGGACAGAAAAACAGAGGCTGGAATTTGGGAGCTTCCCTGCCCTTCCCATGTGGGATTTGGGACAGGAAAAACCCCTGGAATTGGTCATTTTCCTCACCTACCACCGTACTACATAAAGAACCCCAGATCTTCTTCCTCTTTCATTAAAATTGGGATTTTCCCCACCCTGTTCCACTAAAAATGGGATTCTTGCTCCCTAGTCCACCAAAAACGTAATTTTCCTCCTTCTGCTCCATTAAAATTGGGTTTTCCTCCCTCTGCTCCACCAAAACTGGAATTTCCCCCTCACCGCTCCACTAAAATTGGGATTTTTGCTCCTTAATCCACCCAAACTGTGATTTTTTCCCCCTCTTCTCCACCAAAACTGGAATTTTCCTCCCCTTGCTGCACCAAAACTGGTATTCTTGCTCCCCAATCCACCAAAATCGTAATTTTCCTCCTTCTGCTCCATTAAAATTGAGATTTTCCTCCCTCAGCTTCATTAAAACTGGGATTTCATCCCCGTGCTCCATTGAAACTGGGATTCTTGCTCCCTGATCCACCAAAACCTCCTCCTGCTCCATTAAAATTGGGATTTTCTTCCCTCTGCTCCACCAAAACTGGGATTCCCCCCCCGTGCTCCATTAAAACTGGGAATCTTGCTCCCTAATCCACCAAAACCTCCTCCTGCTCCATTAAAATTGGGTCTTCCACCCTCAGCTCCACTAGAACTGTGATCTCGCTCCCTCTGCTCCATTGAAACTGGGATTCTTGCTCCCTGATCCACCAAAACCTCCTCCTGTTCCATTAAAACTGGGGTTTTCCCCACTCTGCTCCACTAAAACTGGGATTTCCCCCCCGTGCTCCATTAAAACTGGGATTCTCCCCCGTGCTCCATTGAAACTGGGATTCTTGCTCCTCAATCCACCAAAACCTCCTCTGCTCCATTAAAATTGGGATTTTCCTCCCTCAGCTCCATTAAAATCGGGATTTTCCTCCCTCAGCTCCATTAAAATCGGGATTTTCCTCCCTCTACTCCATTAAAATCGGGATTTTCCTCCCTCTGCTCTGCCAAAAGCGGGATTTCCTCCCTCGGCTCCCTTCCCAGCGGCGGCAGGCAGGAGGCCGGCGTTCCCGGGATTCGTTCCCGGGATGATTTGTTCCCGGGATTCCCACGCACTCTCCGAGCAGCGGGAGCTGCGGGATGCTGAGGGAATTCTGCCGCGCCTGCTGCTCCAGCCGCGCCTCGATCTCGCGCTTCTTCTGGGCGATCAGCTCCTCCTGCTGCAGGATGTTCACGCTGGCCTTGGCCGCCCTGGACTGCGCCACGCCGAACCACCGGCTCGCCTTCCCTGCGGAAAGGGCGGAATCAGCGCGGGAATTGCCTGGAATCAGGGG